ATTCTATAAGCAATTGTGTTCTCTAAGTAACTTTCTAATCCATGAATATCACTGTTTTAACAGTTACAGGTTAACTTACATCACTTCAATGATTTTGTTTGAAGACTGTAAGATCACTTTATTTAATTTTGAATTTTTCAAGTGTTCAGAATGTCCATTAGTTATCCAGTGATTGAAAATAATTGGAAATTCTTTGCAAAAATCAAAATACCTTTTCTCTAAATGGTTTTTGGTTGTAAGTTGTACTTTTCCTGAACACACACACACACAGGACCACTGGACATATTATTAAAAATCCTTTTAAGTTAATGCACATTTTGAAATGTAAGAATGTGATGTTTTTTTAAAGGGAAAGTTAAAAATGTATCAAAATCAAATAGACAAAAAAGTAAAAACGATCCCATAAATATTAGTCTCTGAAACTGGAATTAAAAACATGATAATCATAAATTCTTACTTGAAAATGTTCAAATTGTAGCACATACACATTTTTAAGTTAGTATTTGTGTTTCTTATAAGGTTGCTAATTCTGAGAAGTTTCAGGTTCAGTTTTCTGGTTGTAGCTTATAGTAACTTTTCGCTTATAGTAAGTCCTCATGGCGTCCATGTGCTGTAAATAATACACTTTAGGCAACTATAAATGTTAACAAAGCATGTTTATAAAATGTAAATGTTCTTTAATATAAATGCACTTGTGACTATATTTAGAATCTCTTCTCTTATACTTTAAAATAGGCATAAATCTCCAATTTCAAATATAGTTGGACCATACATGAAAACCTACATCATTTCTGTCCATGGAAATCTCTTACACAGGAAATACAGACTTGAGCAGCTTATGAACATAACCTGAAAGGACTAGCTATAAAGTCCCTATAAGTCCTTTCACTGTAACTAAGAGAAATATGGTAGGAGCTATTTCTAAACCTTCTTACTTGTTTGTTGCTCGTGACACGTGTTTATATTTAATTTATTTATCTCACAAAGGTCCCAAAGTTACACTGGCAAATCTAGAATTTAACCTCTTCTTGGCTAATACGAGTGATATCGAACTAATCAATTTCAAACTCACAACAAACGCATCAGCAAAGGCAAGGTCAAGCATTATCAGAAATCCAAGGTTGACTTACGCATCCAGATTACCATAATATTAACAAATTGAGGTGTTCCAAGTAAAATTTTGTCTACGGATTCTATTGTGAGGTTTTATCACCAACGGAATGAGATCTTATTCAATAAGTTTGCCTTTTCCCAAAAGTGAAACTTGATTTTTAAAAAGAAGCCACAACATACTTTCTTTAAAATGAAGGGCTCCCCCCGCAAAAAAAAAAAAAAAAAATTACCTTCCATGGCTGAGTTCTCTCCATGGAACTAGAGTAACCTTAAGGAGTCCCTCAGTCTCTGCCTACTGCTCTGAGGAAGACCACAGAAGAGTAATCACTTTCTTTTCTTCAACAACCACCACCAACAACCTTACCCAGAACAGTAATAAAAAGCAACAAACTAACCCTGCTTCTTTGATTCTTAAATGAGCTGAGAGGAGTGGTAAAAAGGGGGGTGGGGGTGAATCAATGATGAAATAAATTAAAACTTCCAATGAGAACTTTTTATTTTTGGAAAACACATCACAGCACATTAAAAAAAAAAAGTGTAGAATCATTTTTCTAAGATACACAAAGAAAAGTAGATGAAGAATACTGTGTTTGCAGTTGGACTAACCGAATTTGTCCATGAACTACTGCTCTCCAGACTGAGGCTAGGTAATCACTTTGTTAAAAAATAAAATAAGTGAGGGGGAGGGGTGTTGCTTGCTACTGCCATGGTCCCAGACTTCGGGATACGCACATTTGCATATCCCCACCTTCTTCTGGCTCTACTCTCTGCAGTTCTCTGCCTAATGAGTCTTCCCGCTACTTTTTCTTTCTTTTTTTTTTTTTCCTCTGGATTGAATGAAGCGCATGCTTCTCAGGAGACCCCAATACCTGGGAGTCCGTCCTGCGGGGAGGTGTGTTGCTAAGGGGGTTGGGGAAGAAAAAGTAACCGCTACCATCACACTGCACCATCCCGACGCTCAGCACATCCCCGTCCACCAATCAGGAGTGACCTTCCGGCGAGGATGCGGCAGGACGGGCTCTGTGGTCCAGGGAGGACCCCCGGCGCCTCAGGGTCCGGTCCGCCGTCTCCTCCAGCTCC